ATATTGACGGGTTTTTTGAATGGGTTAGTTATAAGAGCGATAGACAGGGAGAGCACAAACTACCATTTTATGGTCATTGTTTTCAAATTCTTCGTATACTTCTACAGATAGCGGGATAACATCTCTACTGAATATTACATCAAATATATTATCACCCCATCTTGGGGTACGAACCAACTATGACCAGCAGTGCATGTTAATTCTTGACGAGACTTCGTTATTACATGACTGACAACTACAGGTATTCCAGTTGATTCCAAGGTAATTGAAATCTGTAATAACCTTAGCATTGTAGTTTAGAGCAGATGAATGTATGAATGCATTGATAATAAAATCATTCACAATATCCGAACTATCGGGAGCTCTGAATATACGTCTCAGTAGTAGACTGTTATTCAGAGTGTTGATTGATATCCCGATCTATTCAGGTAAACTATTTAGGATACTGTCTTCAACTTGATTAGTTGTTAGGGTATCCAAAGCATTAGTTTCTTTGTTTCGGCGATAGAGTAGATAACTTTTGATATTTAATTCTGAATCAAATAACACTACTACAGTGATAAGTATGAAAGTTTGGCTAGTAAAGCTAAGGTTTTCAAGGCTTAAATTTTGTTTTGAAGTGAACGTGAATTGAAAAGTGATAAGTTTAAAAAGGGAGTATGGAGTGTAGAAAAACCGACAGTTTCCTTATCGGTGTTATGTGTTTTAGATTTGCCTGGACTATGGTTTAATATGTTTGACTGATCATATGGGCTATATCATGGAAAACTTTAGTGCTAGTGGGACCAGGGATTTCTGAAGACAAAAAAATTATTATTTTGATAAGGTAGATTCATTTTCGGAATTTGACTTGATGGAGAATTAGGAAAGGCATCTGCTTGTTGGGGTTGGGTTGATGGTGCATAACCTAGTAATCCATCCTGTCCATTGGGAAAGTGATAAGAAAAGCTAAAACTTGTGGATTTATTATTTAAAACTTTTGGACGTATCCGTGGGACACGTCGTTTCTCTGCGGTCTGTCTAATATTAGGCCTGCTTACACGACGGTCGTGATGGCTGTCTTGTGCGACATATTCTATTCAACGTTTAAACGAGAAAAATATTGTCCATAAGCTTTTTGACTAGTTTCCAAGCCACGTTATGACTCATCTTTATGTTCTTAATAGTAATAACCTGTGAAAATGGTTCACTTAAATTACTTTACAAAAGCAGTTGAGCTTATATCGGATGACTATCGAAACTATTGTCATTTCTTTAACTACTATTCAGTATATCAAGGGTTACCTGGTTGAGAAGCAATTAAGAATAGAGAGTAGCCTCACGATATATCTTAGTGTGCTGGAATGGTATCAGTTCTATCCTAATGCTTATCTGCAAACATAGGGTCATATTACTGATGACACTTAGTTTAATTTCCCGCCAGGTTTAGTGATTCACTTTATTAAAAAAACTGCCTGTTGGTCATTCCTTGTTAACATTTCATCCAGCCTTATTCTGCTTTCTGCTCACGTCTCTGTATGTGCTCTAATCAGTAGTTAAGACAAATAATGACGTTTTGGTTCCTTTAGACTAATAACAAACTACGGAGAAATATTTTTTAATCTAGTTTACATATTTCTGACTGATTTAAATATTCCTCTTGTAGATAGCGTGTTTACGGAAATGTAGGTGAATTAAAAGGTTACTGTCTCTGAGATACCCATTTTATGGGGCGATAGAATGCTTGTTAAGAAAAATATTTGACAATAATGGATTTTATCAGAATGGGTTTTTTCAACCTGTGAAATTTCTAAAAGTCTCCACAAAAAAACAGTGATAATAATCAACTGCTCACTAGTGGCTGACTTCAGGAGATACTTCTGGAGTTCTAGTGAGAAGCTGTTACCAGTGGAGTTCAACCAGGTCTGTTGTAAGATATCAGCTCACTGAAGACAATGGTGTACGGTGGCGCAACTTCGTGGATTGGTTGAAGTTAGACATTAACACCGTTGGATGCCGGCTCAGTGGTCCAGTGGTTAAGTGCTCGGGCGCAAAACCAGTAGGTCCTGGGTTCAAATCCCGTGGCGTGTGGGGTCGTGGGTGCTCCCCGCTTGAGAGTCCCATACTAGGACGAAATGGCCGTCCAGTGCTCCCAGGTTTCCCATGGTGGTCTAGCTTCAATTGACTCATGATTTCAACCTGTGAAATAATGGATTTGTTTGTACTTCTAGATCAATTACATTTAGGTTAGATTTCTAATCTTACGTAACTATAAAATTGACCTCACGGGCAGAATTTACACAATAATCCTCAACCCAGTATAAAGTCTATCACAAAACGCATGTAAAACCATGAGTTTTAAATGATTAAACTTGCTGTTCAAAGCAAGACTCTGAAACATGTTGACTACTTTGTTTCTAGCCATAGGAAAATGTAAACATTTAGGTTGTACTTAAACTAAATGGTGATAACGTAGCGAAAATGTGGATGAGACGCTAATGAAGAGCGTCATTCAAATAAGGATAATATCGAGCAAGATTTTATTATTCGTGCAATCGCATTTACTGTTCTTAGTGAAAATGAGTGAGCTGCAGCATAGTCGTCCACTTCAAAGTTACTAAGTATTATGATCTTTGAAACCACAAACTGACATGAGTGTCTTCTGTTTCATGATGTGGACACACCTCATACATACAAAGGTTGATTACGCGGTAGATAGAATACTCTATTAGACTGAATAGCTGAGGTCATATTTTCAGCCTTTAAATGTTGACCGTACCGTACGATGATCGTGTGCAACTCCATCACTTGAAATTTTCGACATTTCCTCATCTGAAAACCAGGCAGAACAGTACTACTTGGTTAAAATATCTAGGTGAGTAATTTCACCAAAGTTCACTCCTTAACATGTTGTTTAGACTTAAAAGTGTTTTTGAAGATCACTTGTGTAAATGATAATAACATTGTAGACCGTCCCATTGTCACCGAAATCCCTGCTCTTGAAGGCTCTTCTGGAGTACGTTGCTACACGCTTACAATTAGATGAAACTAATCCTTACAACACCGTTAATTCTAATAATCATTGAGGTCTTGTTATTAATCTGAAATACCGCTCACGAAACCTTTTGATTTAAGGAAAATTGTATGAATTTGGGTGTAATGTTGTTTCTGGAAAAGATTTCATTCAAAGATAAAATTAAACTTGTACACAATTTTTCGTGGTGTCTTACAACATATTGTCAAAAATTCTTTCTAGGGAATATACAACTATTTCTGATTTAAAATTTCATTGAGATGCTTAAAGCAATCAATCTTAATAAGATGCTGAGTTCGGAAATGATTGAAATGTTAAAATATATAAGGGTAGAACGAGAAGAGAGTCAAAATACAGAGTGATACTCTAAAACGACTATGGTGTTTGATTGGACTAATGATTCCTTTGTACTTTTTGAATGTCTGATTTCGGATTCCAAATACAGTACATTCGTTTGTGCTTATCTAGTACTTCTTGATCCAATTGCGTTATTTATGGGATTCTTAGTTCGTGCTATAACTCAAATACTCCTAACCATCATAACGACATATAGTGATCATGGAATGAAAAAGCGTTTCTGTTCTCCTAATAATACATTTAAAAGACTAATGTTCATATCATTGTAATAGATGGAAGCAAACTAAATCATTCTAAACGCGTTTATCTATTACCTAAGTTGCATAATCTAATTGTCGGTTCGTTCTAGTACGCTAAGCTTTCCAACAAAAATAAGTGTTGTTCTTAACTTTGATTTTATAGTTAACATCACGGAGTGATCATATTCAAATATTCATTAAAAAACAGGAAGCTCTGGAAATCTTTTTCTTTCCATTACAGGATCATTCAGAAGTGTGTGCCCATTTTCCAACCAGGGACCTGATCCAGAAATTTAGTTCTCTCGGTGGTTGCTTAACCAATAGTCCACTCAGTTGGTTTACATGCTTGGCTCCAGTCAGTCCGCGATATTGCCCAACTGTCACCAAATATCATCGGTGGGTAACTGACTCACACACAGCACGGTTTAGCTCCGCTCAACACAGATTCCTACCAGAAGTTCTAGAATAACCTCTCGATACTACTCATTAGTGAGCATATGATTATTATTACCGTAAAACGTTGATAGGGATTGTTGAATTTTACAGCTAACATCACAGACCGAACTTAATAGACTTGCGGATATGCACTGTTAAAGAGTTCCATACTTCAAAGAAGTAGCTGTCCAGTGCTTCCTGATTTTCCATGGTCGTTCATCTATGATTAGTCTGTGATTTTAGCCATAAAGTTCAACAATCTTCATAAACCCACCACAATAATCTTAATTTCAATGTTAATCCAGTTGATTATCATCAGTTAGTCCATATCTTTTACTTCAATTGGTCGAATTTACCTACTTAAAATGAAATAAGTCTCAAAAGTTTACAATCACTTTATCATTTCTTAAACGCCTACTTATTAATCTGATAAATGTTGCGAATAATGAGAGTAAATTCTATTCAACTTAATATATATATATATTCTTCTTAAATAAATGTTTATTTGACCTCCCTATACTTAAAATCAAGTAATCATATTTAAGTTGAGGTCATAATACACTTCATTATGATTTTACATAGCTGAAAACAAAAATGGATGAATCGATTTGCATAATTAAATTGCAGATTTTACTTTCATGTCAAGTTTTCCACAAAAATCCATGTGATGTTTTGAATTACTTTCAAGAAATAAATTATACAACAACTTCATGCCAATAAAAGAAATTTCTTCCAAAAGATTGAACATTTAATTTATATTAAATATCACCTTTTAAATTGTGATATTGAAGGTGAATATTTAATGCACTTATTCAGAACTTTAAAATCTGTTTCTAACATGGTAACAATTAATTTGGTGTTGTAATGATAATATAATGTATTAATGGACTGAGTATAAATTGCTCAATTGACAAGAAATTACTTTATGTTAATTAATATTTATTGATATACTAAGTATGAATTCAAGTGAATTAATTTTTATTGAAAGACCTCAAAGAATATTTCAAGACTGTATGTTACTTGTACAAAATTATACTTATATTCAAGAGCTGAAATGTTTATCATCTAAAATAATCGGTACAATAGTTGGTTATCTTATACCAATTTTTAGTATACCTTGTATCATGATTAATTTATTCATTGCTATTAATGTGATGATGAAAGGTAAAAAAGCATCACGTCAACTTATTTATATTGCTGGTATATGTTTATCAAGTGCAATAGCAAATATTATGTTTATATGGTTATGGCAGTATCCTTCTTATGGTTTACCGTATACAACAAATGGAACTAAATTTTTTCATTCCTAAATATTTCTATTACTTCATGCCGTTTTCATCGTTTTATGTATTCATTCTCAGCAACACTGATGTGTAATATGCGTGTATGCGCTTCATTCGACAGATGTTTAGCTATATGGAAACCAATAAAGTTGAGAAAATTTCGTCATCATTATGCTTGGTATGTTTATGGAGTTGTCATTTTTATTAGTGCAGTACTAATGATACCATTTGCTACTGAAGTTAATTGGATACCGACAAAATACGGCTTGCAATGTTGGGTTCTGAGTACCAATGTATACATACAAATACATCATGCATTTCTTTCAAATTTAGGTCCTGTACAAACTATGATATTGATAGTAATTGATATAACATTTGCCTTCAAATTCCGTCAACAACTGAAAAAGCATAGAACAGATGGAATAGATGTTACAAGTAGTAAACAAATGCATCGTTATTTACTGTTGTTTATATCAGCTGTATCGTATAATATACTAGCTGCAACACAATGTATATTTTTACTACTTGCACGTTTAGGTACTGTTAGTTTCATTAAATTTGAATCAGGTCTTGCTTATAACATATCAGATATTTTATGGTATTTAAACTCATTAAGAGAAGTACTTGATTTCGTCATTTATCATAGATGTTTTCATGTATTCAGTGGTATTACATCAAGAATATCTAAAATGTTTTCTTACAAATCAAAAGAAACTATTTCAATTAGTCGTGATATTAGTAAAATAAGTATTGCATCCGGCTACAATTATTAACTTGCACATTACTGATAACATATCTTTGTAACTGGAGACAATAAAAATAATGTAGAAATATATTTTAAACTCTTATATGTCCTAGTTATTGTATTAAATTACTATCTTGTAGACCTATTGAAATGAAGACCTTCAGATTTACTATAATCAAATTTAGAAATTTTAAAATGTCCCTTATTAAATCATTAAAAAGGAAGAATTTGAAGTAAATCCAACGTTTCGCCTGACAATCTGGTCCAAGCTTTTCCCTGATTAAATGTTTTAATTTTATGAGTATACCTGATTTTTAAATGAAATTAAATTTAAAGATAACTATTCATGATTTTTAAGCTAACTGAAAAATGCTTTACTTAGATGTTTGATAAATATCTGGTTAATTTGAATATCACGCTAACTATGGTTTGATGTAAACTTGAAAACTGTCAAAAATCTGTGTGAATCTTTCATTAATAAACAATAAATACATTGCTGATAATAAACAGAGAAACCGTGGAATTTCTCATTTAGTAATATACCATTCATAATATCATACGCGAACATAAACTTCTTTCATAGCTTAGTGAATTTCATAGGTCTAGCCTTTGTATTCCATATGTGCTATCAAGATAAGATTTCGTCCCACATTCAGTTTACTAGAAAAAAACCTGAAACAAACAACGAAGAAAATCCACTGTACCATCGATGAAGAAATAAAGGCGATTCGATGATGAGACATTTCCCGACGATTTCATCTTTAGATGTTCAATCGTATTTCTAATTAATATGTTTACTTAAAATGATAATCCATAATAGGATGGAAATGTGTCGTCATTAGGAACAATGATATCAATAATAATGTAAAGCTTTAAATACCGAACATAATGGTTTGAAATCAAATAAAGTGATGATTGATTTGACTACTTTAAGTGATTTTATGTCATTAGCTTATAAAAAAACCAAATATTGAAAGGAAGTTATATAGTGATTCAGGGGCTAGTGAAAAGTGTTAAGGTGAAAGTAGTTTATAGGTGAGTAATAGTTTTCTGTTTAATAAAAATTAAGAACAGAATGATTAAATGTTTTAATAATAGCTAATAAATAATCGTAAAATATGATTGAAAAGGACTCAAAAAATGTAAGAGATTATTGAGAATGGAAGATAGAAAGGAATGCTAAGACCACTGTAGAATGAGGGACTGAATAAGTTGTGTACGTAAACAAAGATTAGACTTGAGTCGATGGATGGCTAATGCCCCTGCTGTGCACGAGTTTTTATTTGCATTCTTCGAGAACCTATTCTTCTAGCTATAATTAACTTAGAAGAAAGGTTCCGGGAAAGCAGTAAAACCATAACTAACCAGATATTCCAGGATTAACCTCCGACTGACACTTTTAGCTTTTTAAATAACCAGCCGTGGTAAAATTAGAAAATCTTAGTAAAAAAACTCATTTATAACTCTTAGAATTTATTTAAAGGGAATCCTTTACCAATATCAATTATTTTGTTGGTTATAGTCCCGGGATTTGTTTTTAACTTGATTGCTTAACTCTGTCTACAGATTTCTTTATAACACTTTTCTTGGCAATTTACTTAGTTAATGGGGGTTAGTCACCAGATTTTAAAAATCCCCAATAAAAGTATCTTTTCCTACATTCTTCGGTCCTTCTTCCTTTTATACCAACCTTTATTATTTTTATTACTTCTGTTATTTCTCCCACTCTCCTTTGTTTTTTTCACTCTTTTTCTCACCTATTTATTCTAATTCTCCTCACTCTTTTCCGGAATTTTCCCTTCTTATTTTAATTTTCCTTTTTATTATTTTTATCCCAATTCTTCTCGCTTCATCTTTTCTTCTTTCTAGAATTCTTCCCTTCAAATTTATTCCAGTCTTTTGCCTATGTTTCTTCCACATTGTTTTCTGTTCGTTCTCAAAAAGCATTTATGTCTTTAGCCTACAGTGAATATGAGAAAGTTAGATTTAGTAAAATGATCAGTTTTCGATTTAGCTTCATTAAATAAATGACCTTTTAAAAAATTACTTTTAATCTATTATGAAGGTAAATACGTTCTTCACTTATTTCTGATAAATACAAAATCAGTTATTTTCAAGTTTCTTAAGAAAAATAAAGTTTATTTATTCCGGCTTAAAAATAAAAAATTTTTAAGTTCATAGAAGTGTTTGATTAATTTTGAAATAGCAATTTTGATAGTACGATCTGTCAATTTAATTTCAAACAAAGGACTAGATAAAAATAATGCAATTATCCGCCAGTTTCTATGGTAACTAAATAGTCTAATAATATATCAAATACTGAATGTTTTACATAAAACAAAATAATTCAATACAGAGGTTGCATAAATAACTATATCATCAAAAATCATCTCGAATAACACTTAATCTAAAGGAGTTCTAATTGATGAGATGGTGATTTTTCGATTTTTGTTTATAATAATGACTTGATGATTGGATTTATCGACGTTGTTTACATTTGTATGTTTGTTTTATTAAAAAGAGGAAGTTTGATTTTAAAACATTGGTTTTTGAACATGATACAGAAATACTTACTTCACGTCGGACGGTTACTGAAAGAGAAAGCCATGTACAACAAGAAAGCTCTTCGAGGTCATGAGAAGTGTAGCTTTTTACCAATTGAAAATTACATATTGTTTCCTATTTATTTACATCAAATATGCTACAAATTTACGAATCACCTAGTCGGAAGGAAAACGGAATACGAATTTTTTACCAATGTTTTAAGTAAAAAAACTCATTCAACATGGTCCTACATAATTTATTTTGTAAAGAATATCTTTTATCCTACATTAAATAATTAATCCCTTAACATTAGCTAGACAGGAGATATTCCCCATAAAATTTTCACTTCTCATTGAAAATTATCAATATTCTACCACGTACACAGGCGTAATCCTCCGAAATCGCTAATCAGTTATTTTGTAGACGAAAATCAGGTAAAGATGATACTCGTGTTCTGAATTATAACTGCCGCTATGTAACGTTACATTCAATGACATATTAACAAACAAGCTACGAACACTAATTTTTACTATTTTCTGATGATCAGTTAATACAATTTAGTTAGATCACGAGAGATGTATGCCCAAAAATAGAAAAACTCTATAATTAATTTGGCAAAATGGAGACAATTCTTTTAGAAAAGGAATTACTATCGAATGATTATGTGGAAAATATGCTCTGATGTTGAATATCACGGAAAAATTGAAATTAATTTATTTTGAAAAGAATGATGTATTCTTTTAACTAGTGTTCAAAAGTAATCAAATTTTAAAAAAGCTTAGTTAAACATTGAAATCATCAACAAGTAATCAGTTTCAAGTACCGAAACAACTTTTAATTTGTTCAACAGGAATATGCAATCATACATGAGAATAATAAGATGTCGGGGTTTATAAAAGTTATCCTTTAACTCTCAGTTATTTTAACAAATATTGTGAATAGTTCCTATATGTTTTTAACTGTTATTACAATTTATTGAAATCAACTTGAATGTTTTATATATTCTTATATTCATGAAAATCTTAATCATATTATACAATAACATTATCGCTAATATTTTAAAACTGTTATTTTAATCATTAATAAAATCTCCCTCTATACTCTCTGCATTTAGTATAAACTGATCATTTCAACTCATAAACTATTTACTATTCTCTTAACGATTTAATTATTAAGCATAACTACTATTATGAATTAATTAAACATGTTAGATCATATATTTGGCATAGACAAAACCAATCAAATGAATTCATTATGTATTCTGTAAATATTATCATTGTTGGCTTATTTGAAAGTGTAGAAAAAGTAGTGTTTATGTTAAATTGTAAAATAGAAAAAATAAACTGGTTTGTTGAAATTAAATTAACTTACACCGATTTTTAGATTGTTCTGTAGTACTATAAACAATCACAAATATTTTATACAAACAGTTATATATACTTCACCTATTATGCTTATTAAGGAGAATTAATGCTGTAAATAAATTATAAATTAGATGGATTACTTCTAAACATAAGTAAAATCACATTTACACCAGTTTGATTAAATTCCACGAAATAAATTAACATGAAGTGTTTTATATTTGATACGTTTTTGTCGATTGAATGCTACTTGTTATATCTGGTCGTCGCTGATAATTATGTCGGAATCGCTTATCACTTATACTTTCAAAACGAGGAACCACTGCAATCCCCATGACGCGAAAGAAAGAACACAAAGACTGATACAAGTGGAGATTTATTAACCCCAAAACACGACGACGATCCTAGTCGTAAATACACTCATTTTGATTAATAATTAGGATAAAATCACATATATATAAAATACCCAGAATTATAGCAAGTCACATGCTGAGTATAGTTCATGTAAACTTAACAGAAGAATAACGTATGTTATACAAGAACACAAAACATACTACATTGAGTAATCATTACACTGAATTAAAAATGAAAGTAATATTCAACAAAAATCATAATGAGTAAATCAATTTAATTTTGACTTTCATCCCGTCATATCAATGTTTCACTTACAAATATCATTGCCTCTACATTTCAAATAATTAGCCCATATATGACTTTGAAGTCATCGGATCTTAATATTATTTTCACTACTATGCATTTCATAATAATGATAAATACTTGTAATAAATAGTCGTTCTACAGTATACAGGTCAATTTCTGTGGATATACGTAGATAAGCTCCAAGCGTATTAAGTTTTTAAATTAAATGAGATTTAGTTCGCTTTCATAAAATTCTATTCAACTGACGTTGTAGCACACACCAACTCGAGTAAAAGTCCCAGTGATCTCAACAGATTTATTACGGTAAAGAAAGCAATGGAAAATAAAATGAAGTTTGTATACTAATACAAAGAAGTAGTATATAATTCTCAAGCCCTTTTTCACGTCATAGTTTTAAAATACTTTTACCACAGATCAACGTATTGATTGTGATTAACGTTATCTTGAACATTACAAAACCTTT